GGGGGTTTGATTGCCCAGTGGTGGCTGCCCTCTTGCTGTTTTGACCCCCCTTGGACCCCCCTGCATTGCATGATACAAATGATCAACAGGTAGGCAATTTAAAAAAGCACACACATTTGCAGGCTGAAGTTTACAGGTGTACCAGCAAAGAGTTTACATTGCAGCAAATCTACAATGCAGGAAGTCCTCAGTTTAAGAACGAGTTCTGTTTCCACGGTCTGTCCTTAAGTCGAATTTGTGTATAAGCCACAACAGGATTATTGTGTAATACTGTATCAGTAGTATTGCATAATGAACTCAAACCATTGTGTATTTAACTCCAATTTTGCTACAATGGCCTCCGTTCTTAACTAGGGGTCGTCCTTAAACTGGGCGTTCTTAACCCGGGGACTCCCCGTATCTTCTGTTGAAGCAGCTGCCTTAAAAAGAGCTTGAAGATGTGCCGAATGTAACCTTATGGGATTCGCTTTCCTAGATGTATTTCTTTGACTTAAAAATGTGGGTGGTTTTCTTCTTCTCTTCTGCAAGAAAAAAAATGCATCTCTGAAGTGTGAATCCTGTGTAGCAAATCATTTGGCTATACAGAGCGGGAGCACTGAGCTAAGTTTTGCTCGGTGCTTTTGCCTGAGCATCATTGCACACACCTACGTGGTCACACGCCCAGAGCTGCCCTCTCCTGCTAACGTTAAGCCAGCCTTAGATGCGGGAAGCGCACGTGCCGTCCTTACATGGTGGAACTAGAGCAGAAGGCAGGTTGTGCAGAAGGAGGAGACCGATGAAGCAAACCTGTTCTGTAGGCAATCCATGTCTGCCTTAGAAATATCCCAGTGTCACTAGATGTCAGCAAAGGGAGACCTACTTCTAAGCTTTTATTCCCATCTAGTGGTCATAGATTTTGCAGCCCAAATCCAGTCGGCTTTTTGACGGGGCAATCTCTCTCAGTCAAGAAATTTTACGTGGGGTCAGGGGGAGATCTTCCCCTTGCAACCTTCCGGTCTTTTCACATCTCATGTTTTCTTTCCTGTGAACGTCAGGGAAGGAGCAGCAGCTGGACAATGGCTGTGGTGGAGTGGTGTCAGCAGCCTTCTCTGGCAGTTGCCTAAGCCGTCAGGAATCCGAGGTGGGCCAGGATGGAGGTTTATAAAATGATACAGGTCCGGTGGAAACCCGCCAGGACTTTTTTTTGCTTTCTCGTGGGACTGGAATCAGAGCTCACAGCAAAGGAAACCAGTGGGAGAGAAGACCTGGTCACGGAACCAAGGAGGAACCCCTTCTGGTGTGGTGTCAGGCCTAGGATGGGACAGTAAGAGCGTCAGTCATGCTTGTGGATGACCTCTGGTGGGAGTGGGATGGAGCTGGTGGATCCATCCTTGTTCTCCCTGGTCATGGAAACATCAGTCAAGGGTTGGGAGTGGGGGACATAGACTGGCAGAGGTTCTCTCCCTGCTTCCGGGGTTGGTTCTAGTCAGTGTTGAGGGGGAGAGGTCCAGCCCACAGCCCCTGTTTTGTGGGGTTCCTCAGGGCTCCAAGCTCTCTCCACTCTTGTTCAACATCTCCATGAAGGGCTGAGCATCGTCATTTGATGCCATACCAACGATGCCCAGATCTACACCTCTGCCCTGGGCTGACCAAGGGATGCTTTGGAGGTCCTCTCTCAGCATCTGGAGACATGCTGGCTGGGGAATTCTGGGAGTTGAAGTCCACACATCTTAAAGTTGCCCAGGTTGAGAAATCCTGGTCTATGGTAATGTTTAAGTGAGATCCACCCAGACAGATCACTAGAAACGGATGTGTATGTATCCTTGAGCAAAACCTTATTAGATTGTAATCAATCAAACAAGACGGTTCACAACCAATTCTTTGCACTGCCTTGGCCCTGAGTGTGAACCGCTCGCTCACCCTCCATCCTGAAGCGGTTATTATCTGGCACACAAATCTACCTATACAGAAAGCTCTCTGGGTTCGACAGCCTCTGTACGAAGCTGCTACAGAGCAAAGTGGAACAGTTGGGAAAAATTATCAAAACCATTTAGCGTTAGATCTGCTGTTTGCCTCTCAAGGGGGAAAGCGTCTGTTAGTTGATTCTTCTTGTTGCTTTCAGCTTCACGAACACGGTCAAAGAGATCATAATAGGAGGGAAGCAAATTAAAAAAGCCAGAGTTTTTCACGCAACAAGTTGGTGCTGGGCAATAAAATTATTCTCGCCACAGGGTGACCGCGTGGCTCTCCAACTGATCTTTTGTTCAGTTCTGTATTATCGTGGAGCGATTTTGATTAGTGTGCACGCTTCACTTTCTTATTCTGTTTCCCTTCTTACAAGATGATTGGCCTTATGGGAGTATCACCGCGTGTGTAAAGAACTTCCGTAGGCCTTGCATGATTAAAACTGACATCTCAAAAATCAGAGTTCACACTGATATAAATGTCTTCTTTATCTTTAAAGCCTTCAGCTATCCAAACATTCATCATCTCTAGACAATACTGTACAAACACAACGGTACTAAAGTGATAACGTACTGCCTGCGTCTTAAAATGATACGAGAAAAGATTAAACGAGAAAAAAAGAACGTCCACATGATTATGAAGCCCCATGGGCGGGAATGAAAGGGTGAAGCGGATCATGTTAGTTACTTTGCTTTGGCAAGGGGGAGAGTAAAATGCATGGGCTCCCTCTGGATTTAGCAGCATGGCGCATAAGCAACGGCTTGAGAAAAAGGGCAAAGGAAGCAATCCAAGGAACAGGGCCTTGGACGTGAGGAGATCAGAGAGTGACCAGCTGGAACTAAACCAGACCGGAAGGTGGGCACACCGTGGAAACTGCCCAGCTCAGCCGCAGCAGCAACCAGAGGGCATGGCTGGGGCAGAGGAAAAGGCGGATATCGAAAGGGGAGCCGGGCAGGGGCTTGGTTGGAAGACACCCCTTGTACATGCAACCATCTGGATCGGGACCCGTCTTCTCCCCTCCCCTCCTGTCAGAGTCTGCACACTCATTCCCAAAGTTCAGTAAATCCTCTGGAGACCAAACAGTTCCGTCAAAGAGTTCTTTATTGGGAGAAATGCACAGCAGCTATAGTTTGTTGAGTCTAATTCTACAAAGCAAAACCTTTCCTTTTTCTTTCCTTGCACTCTTTATTCTTTCTTTCTCTTTCTCTTT